TAATCACTCATGCGATTTTTCTTGTATGACATACTAGTCAATAGCAGAAAGGCACCCGCTGCTTCTAGTAAATAGAGCGTGTTTAAGCTTGTGGCTCGGCTCCAGGAAGGTTTATAGTCTTGGAAATACTTATCACATTTAAGTACTGAGTTTACATCAAATAAAAGGCTGAATTAGATAGATAGCTTGTTTTTTTTTTGTTTTGTTTTTTTAAGCATTACGCCGCGAGCAAGGCGAGAAGCCACTAGGGTGCAGTGGGTTGCAGAATATTTGGAGCGAGAGCAGATAGGAGTGATAGAAGAAAGGATGAGGAGAGGGATAGTGGATAGATTAAGGTAACTGGAGATGTCGATTTACATTTAAATAGTTGCAGATTATAGCTCTCAGGGGAAAAGTAATTGGGAAGGGTGTTCCACAGGCGAGAGGTGCGAGGTATGAAGCTATTGGAGTAGAAGAGACGGCTACATTTAACAGTTTCAACAGTGAAAGGGTGAGAGCGAGATGCCAGCCTCGTAGCACGCTTGAATTCATGAAGTCTGGGAACCAGCGAAAGCAGCTCATCGGAGCAATTACCATGAAAGTATTTGTAAAAAAGACAGAGGGAGGCGACGTCACGTCTGTGAGAGATCGACTGCAGACGAGATGCCAGATCAGGGACATTTATATTGCATATCTGTTTCTGGATCTTATCAAGAACCCCGAGGCAAACAGAAGGGGCCCCAGACCATATATGGCTGCAATACTCAAGGGCGAATTGTTGATTTGTATATTTGAAGTATCGATTCCGGGGAGAAAAATTTCCTGGCGCGGCACAGAGAGCCAACTTTCCTCGCGGTGGACGAAACAATAGCTAACATTAATAGTGTAATGGCTAAACATAGAAATCCACGTCCCTATCGCTTAGGCCAATTATGTGACCGTCCAAGCTTACTTGCGCCTGGGTGTTGAGTTACATTCGTCTTGGAAGACGCACTCGTATTTTTCAGGATATAATTTAGGGAAAAAGTTCGTCTTGCAAGCCGGAAAATAAGTTTTTTTTTTATTTTGCAAGAATGAACGTGTTTTTCTCCGCGATAAAAAAAAAGAAAAAGAAAAAAAAAATGACGCTGAAATTCTCCGTATTAATTAATGGATACACATTGACGTCGGAGAAACTAGATTTTAACCAAAAATTTCGAAGGTTCCAGAAAGGATTCAAAAAATAACATTTCCAACAAAAACTCCTTTTGTCTTTCCGCCCCATAATAATAGCACTAAAAATTCTGATTCCAAAACTTAGTTTTCTTCAGTTTTGGGCATCATTTTTCTCATCATATATACTCATTTTTAGCGAATCCTTGGAGGTTCACACACACACACACATACACCTACATCTCTCTCTCTCTCTCTCTATATATATATATATATATATATATATATATATATATTGTATGTGTGTGTGTGCGTGTGTGTGTGCGTGTGTATATGCATATATTAGAACTGATGTGTGCGTGACTATAATTATAACGGCTGCCTTCTCCATATTTTTATCCGCGCGTGTCCCGAGTGGGTGGAGAAGATAAAAGTTATTCTGGGTTTACAGGAGGAGTTTCTTTTGCCCAATCCTTAGCACGATCCGCACCGTAATGTTCCTTTTGCCATTCCGCCTTTTTCTGAAGAGATTTCCATCCAGTGTCTTCAGTTCTTCAGTTTCTACTTTCGTTTGCCATTTTCTTATAACCACTTCATGACTCATTCAATTGTTTATTTTTGGATGTACTTTTTCAAAATTTGTTTTCTTCATATCTGCATTTCTCAATAGCGAAAAAAAAAAAATACAATTTCCACTTATATCTTACTTATATATATATATAGTATTTACATTAGTCGGACTATTGTCCTCATCTTTGTCGCCATATTTGTCACAACGTTTCGGCCGTTGTACGCTCCGGCCTTCTTCAGGTGGATTTGGAATTGAAGGTTGAAGAAGGCCGGAGCGTACAATAATAGTCCGACTAACAACGACAAATGAAAGGACAAAATACTGTACATCATAATACCTCATCTCAGAAATATATATATATATATATATATATATATATATATATATATATATATATATATATATATATATATGAATAAATATAGTTTTAAGGTGTACTATATTTATGGAATAAAAGTGCTCAATATCAGAGATAGAGCGTATGTAAATATAAATAAAAAATGAACATTGAAGTCAACACTCAGAGGCGACAGGCTGTTTCAGGCCGGTCACACTCGTCAGGCGGCGATTTGCGGCCCTACAATTGAAATAATACCTCATTAAAAAAAAAAAAAAAAAGACATTCATACACATTCGTTGGTCATAGGAATTATGATCAGAAACGTTTCTTGCCTTAAATAGTTATGAAGAAGAAAGCTGGTTCTATGCGCATCTACTCGTCAGCAGATTTAGGATTTTGACCAGTACTACTAAGTTGTTTTTTTTTTCTGGTGAGAAAACCTTTGATGAAGACCAAAATATGAACCGAAGATGATGGTATAACACATGCTTATGGGGATCTTTCTACGATCATTCACAGTCTCTGGCATTTGTGGTGATTTTTAGAGTCGTAGGTAAAGAGGGAAACATGATGCTTTCTTTCCTCAGTGCCTTAGTCAATGGTGCTGATTATAAGGAGGTTTTGGAGATGGTTCCGAAGCACGGTGGAGTCATGGATAGCGGCTTGGATTGAGGAATCGGAGAGCCGAGTTCGAATTCCAGTCGAATCCATTACATTCACTTACGTGCTAATACCCTTGGGAAAGGTATGAATCTTCCTCTTCCTCATGTATTTATTTAAGGCATGAATTGTCAGGGGTCTCCTCATTGAGTTTATCGGAGGGCTCAATCTACAACTGGAATTATTGATGTCCTCATGTGCCACATTTTTTAGATTTTAAATTCAATAATTGATAGGATTGTGAAGATCTTCAAAGACACATTGCAATCTGCAGGAACTACTGTGTCAATAAGAAAGCACATTCCCATACAATTGTTACACGACTTATTTCATACCAATTTCTTGCAGTTTCCTTTCCGTAAAAGTTGCAGATTTTCAAAGGCAGATATTGGCCCACTCTGTCATGCCGGGTTTTATATTCAGCAAGTGCCAGCAACGTGAAACCTGATACAAGATGGTCAATTGTTTCTGGATATTTATCAAAGAATCTGTATTTTGGGCTAACACAATTTTTCAGTATATGAGCTTGGTAACTTTTAGTTAGCAGGCATTGGTCTTTTGCGGCAAGATTAAAACCTGCATTTCTTTGCCTCTAAGGGGTTCCGGTTTTGTCTACATCAGCTTGTTTGCTACGGGCAGAATATTGACTGTGAATATCTGTACCTAGTCGATTGCATTTGTCTTTGCTTCCCTTTTTAAGGTTTTTGCAGCTTCAGTAGATGTATGTTTTATTTGAATTTCTTCATCCCCTGGTAACTCCATTTTGAAATTGTTGGCTTCCTTTATTACTGAATAAAATTTCTTCTTTCATGCTCTTTGACATAGATCATCATCCAGTCTTCTGTAGTTTCCAGGTATCTTCGAAGGCCGATTGATATAGTTTTGTATGACAGTCCTAGCTGAACTAATCCTCTGCCTCATTTGGACCTGGGCACAGACAGAGGATCAAAATCAGCCTTGGGATGATGCATGTGGCGGTAAATGAGAAGTTTATCGTTTTGGCATCCATTTGCTTAATATCAGCTATGGCCCAGTTAATGATGTTGAAACTGTATTGAACCGCGAGGACATACTATTTTATGCGTTTATGGTCGATATTCTGTTTTTGTTGAAGTCAGCTCGGAATTCAGTACCAGACGCACACGCTTGTAGTAATTCTTTTCTTACTTTCTCCTTCATTTGGTTATGCTGTATTCCATCTCCTTCACTGATCTCGAGCTATTTATAGGGTTCTTCCGTTTTCAGTTCCCTAATCTTTGGGACAAAATCTAAATCTGAGAGTGGTTCTGTAATTCCCCCTTTCTTGAATGTTACTTTTGCACATTTATCTAATCTGAAATCCATGCCTACATCGTCACTGAAACATTTTACAGTATTGAGGAGACCTTTCAACTCATTATCCTCTTTGGGGAAGAGTTTGAGATAATCCATGTTAGAGTAGGTCATTGACTAACTTTGTATTCATTACTATTATTATTTTTACTACTAATACTACTACTACTACTACTACTACTACTACGAACGAGTGTAATTTCGACGAACACTTTAAGGTACACATTCTGAAAAAATATCCAGAATCATTTCAATACATGAAGATAGCTACATATGCAAATTACTAACGTTCCTTCCCCGGGGTAATGAGCGAAATGATAGATATCCATAAGATTTACACTAAACTGTTTTACTAATTGCTCTTACTAACTAATCAACTGCTGAAATATTTTAAGTTAAGCACGGTGCATATCATGTTACTCACGTTTCAGTTGCTTTCCATTCATTCTGGCTGCGTTACCTTGGCTATGTCACGTTGATTACCAGTACAGCCGTCTTTCTCGTTTGTATAAAGACTTGTATTTTTATAGTTTGATACTTGTAAGCTATTTTTAACATAACGTGAAGAAAACAGACGCACTGTCTAAATATTGTGTCTTATCATTTCTCTTTTTTTTTTCACTTAATCGTTCTCTTCTGTAAGTGTGGTAATAATAATAATAATAATAATAATAATAACATAGCTGAATCTTAGTCTTTTGATGTATACACGAAAAAAGCTTTTGAGTAAAAGACATAAAAAGGAAAGAAAAATAAAGTACTATTGATACACCCTAATATTTAATAATAATAATAATAATAATAATAATAATAATAATAATTGGGTACATGAAATAGATTTTTGGATAAAAGTCTACAAAATAGACCCAACTATTTCTTTTTTCCGTCAACGATTATTGCTACGGCTTCTATCTCTTCATTTTTTTTTTTGTTGGCGTTTTTCTTTTCCTTCTTCCTTGTCGATGCGAACTCTTTCTTTCATTGCTTCTTGTGGTAAATTTTCCCTCATATTCTTACAGCTTTCACTATTGATTCTATTCTATTCCCTTTCTTTTTCTTCTGTTTTCCGTTTTCTTTTTGTTTTTATCTTCCTTATTCTACTCTATTCTTTCTTTCTTTCTTTTTTCTTTCTTTCTTTCTTTCTTTCTTTCTTTCTTTCTTCTTGTTTCATCTTTTTTTCCTGCTTTCTCTTCCTTTTCCTATTTTTTTGCTCATTTCCTACGGCTGACTTCTTCTTTTGTCGTTTTTCATTTATCTTCCCAATACCAATATTCTCTTCATTTCTTTCTGGTTTTCTTTAGAGCTTGTTTATTATTTTGTTCTTTCCTTCCTATTATGACATTTCTTTCTTTCTTTCGCTTGAAATTCTTTCTTTTTCGCTGTCGTGCTTGTTTTCTATTAAGTTATTTCTTTCTTTCTCACCTTCTTTCTTTTTCCTTTCATTTTTTCTTCTTTTTTATCTTTTTATCCTCTTTTCCTACGTTTATTTTTATGCTCCCTATATTAATGTTTGCCTCATTTATTCCTTTCTTTCTTTTCTTCCTTTTTGTTTTTCTCTTCCTTTTTCTATATTTTCTTCTAATTTCTTTCTTCTTCTCCTCTTCTTCTTTTCTTTCTTCTTCTGTCTCTTCTTCTTTTCTTCTTCCTCTTCTCTGTCTTCTCTCTTCTTCCTCCTCTTTTTTCTTCTTCCTTTTCATCTTGTTATTGTTCTTCTTTTCCTCCTTCTTTTTTGTTCTTTTTCTTCCTGATCTTGTTCTTGTTCCTCCTCCTCCTCTTCTTTTTGTTCTTTTCCTTCTTCTTTTACTTCTTCTTCTTTTCTTCTTTTTCTTCCTCTTCTTCTTCGTCTTCTTCTTCTTCTTGTTCTTTTTCCTGTTCTTTTTCTTTTTCTTCTTGTTCTTTTTCTTCTTCCTTTTCCTCTTCTTCTTCACCCTCCTCCTTTTATTCTTCTTTTCCATTTTCCCCTTTTATGTTCTCTCTCTTTCCTCCTCCTCCTCCTCCCTTGTTCATTGACTCCATATTCTTCCTTACTTGAAAAACTTCCCTCCCACCTCCACCTCCTCTTCCACCCCCTCCTCTCTCTATTTCTTTATATTTCGAAATAATTTCTTTATTCCCTTCATTCTCATCACCTCTTTCTCTCCCTCCTTTTCCTTCTCTCTTTCTAATTTATTTTTTGTTCTTTACTAATTCCCTCGCCCTTACCTACCACTTGCTACACTCGAAATTTTCTCCATTTCTGTCCACTGCTTTCTGTTACGTCCGTTTCCTCCACCCCTTTATATACGCTTAAACCAATCTCCCACTCTTCCGCACAGAAGCTCTATCTTATAATCTTTTTATTCTTCCTACATTAATCACCACGGGATCTGTCATTGCCAAATATAGCCATGCAACAGAGATATCCCAGCCTGATTCAGAGATACGATTTATAGTGAAAACTGCTCCTTTCTCCATATTTGTGTTCTCTTTACACTTTGCTGCCTCTGTCTTTTTTCGCTTCCTAAAAGCTTTTGTCTTGTGCAAACTTTATATTCAATTATTTCTTTCTTTCTTTCTGGTTTCTCTTTAAGTCATGTCTCTGACATCCAAAAATACACTACTGCAGAAGATTACGTATCCGGCAACTTTATTAATTTTTTTTTTTTTTGCCTTTTGCAAATTTGAACACATGATCATCGCCGCATTGTGAGTGGTGCATTGTCTTCCACTCTACAGCCACTTTCGCCACAGACGAAAAGTCGCAAGCCTTTTGTAACTCTATCGCTATTTTTACAACAAAAGTGCTGAAGAGCTGTATTCCTTAGTTCCGCCACTTCAGACCTTCACAGGTAAGACCCACCTTGCTACGTATAAGGACAGGATTCAACTTCATTCCTCTCATATTCCATTAATAAAGGGGTAAGCTCCATTTGAACAGACCGCTACAGTGTGGAACAGTCTTCTGAGAGAATGCTTCTTTGTCCATTACAATTATAACCACTTCAAGTTTAAGGTAAACTACACTGCTTACCTCCACCTCTTACCATAATACAACAGCCACATTCATTAATCGTTTACCTTGAGGGGCTCTTGGGCCTTGTGTAGAAAGAAAAGTTTTATAGTGTGTAAACTTCGCTTTAATTTATTTAAATGGTTTAATTTTTCCCTTTTTAAGTTATTGCTGAAAAATATTTCGAATACTGTAACATATTTTTTTGCCTGGAATAAATATAAAAATCAAATTGATTAGCCGTCCTGGGTAAGACGATAAGCAACATCCGCGTCCTGGGTATGACGATAAGCTACATCCGCGTCCTGGGTATGACGATAAACTACGTCCGCGTCCTGGGTAAGACGATAAACTACATCTGAGAGCAAGGACTTTGATCAGGAAGTTTTGAGAAAGGGTGGAAACCCCTCTTAATTGCTGGTGTGGTAGCAACTGTTAGGGTCCCAGTTATGGGCAAATAGTTAACCCCGAAACTGGGGTATAACACTATTAAAGTGTAAAAATAGGTTTTAATACCAGCTATAATTTTTTTGTAAAAATATTACCAGCAATATATTTTTGAAGGAGAAAAATATTACCAGCCATATATTTTTGAAAAAAGGAATATTACCAACCATATATTTTTGAAGGAGAAAATATTACCAGCCATATATTTTTGAAGGGAAAAATATTACTAGCCATATATTTTTGAAGGAGAAAAATATTACCAGCCATATATTTTTGAAAAAAGGAATATTACCAACCATATATTTTTGAAGGAGAAAATATTACCAGCCATATATTTTTGAAGGGGAAAAATATTACTAGCCATATATTTTTGAAGGAGAAAAATATTACCAGCCATATATTTTTGAAAAAAGGAATATTACCAGCAATGATTTTTTTGAGGAAAAATATTACCAGCAATACATTTAAAAAAAAAAAAATATTACTAGCAATAAAAATCTTCTTGGGATTAAATAAACTATTGAGGTGTTGATATGCCGTAAAACAAAACAAAACAAACTGGTTAGTCGAAACGGATAAATAGGTAGAAATGAGCGGTGCGACATGTATTTGAGAGCATTAATGCCTTTGGTGACAAATTTAATTTTTTTCTGCTCTGTCTTGGAAGTCTTGATTGTAAGACAGGAGATGAAAAGACATACTGTTCTCGTTGCTTTTGCCATCAAGCACACAGTTTTGGAGTTTTCGGCATTCTTAAATCTCTCCATGTCCTTCGTGTTTCAGATAAAAAAAAAAAGCTTTATGCCTACCGCAATAAGATGTCTTCAGTGGCAAAAAGAAGAAAAAAATATTCTAAATTGTCAGACATTGACAGAGATGCCAAATTTCTTTCACCGACAAGAGTTCTTGAAAATCAAAGAGGGTGGCATTGCTTATCAGTTCCATGTGACGGTAGGGCAGGATTTGGGTCTTAAGAGGCCCCTGAGCTGATGGAAGTTGAGAGAGCAGTGATTACTTATATTAACTCTTCGAGTCTATAAAAAAAAAAAAGATATATTTAGATGATACGTTTTTGGTGTAAAAATATTTTGAATGATTTGGAAAATCATACAATTTATTTCAAAGAAATTTCATGATATTATTTTATCCGAAATCGTCAGAGTCTCGACATCCTAACACGCGGGAGGGTAAGGTAAATAACCTTGCTACAGCAATTAGTTAGAGATTCGCCTGAAGCTGCGCTGGTCGAACCCTCTGCCTTCGGGCGGGAGGAACCCAGCCGAGACCATGCCGAAGGAAAGAGTCTCGTCTGAGGTGGTAGACAGCTACCCGACCCCGTGTATACGGAGTCTACGGAAAATTTTTGCCCGAGCCTACGGGGTCGGTTTTGCCACGCATTAAAAAAGGCCTTGTGCCACATCCTGCCTCGCGGGTAGGTAAGTTAAATAACCTCGCTTCGTCAATTAGTTGGTGATTTGTCTCCAGCTGTGCTGGTCGAGCACTCTGCCTTCGAGCAGAGAGGAACCCAGACGAGGCTATACCAAATGGTGGAGTCTCGTCTGGGTGGTAGAGTGCTACCCGACCCGGTGTATACGGGGTATACGGGAACTTTTTACCCGAGCCTACGGGTTCGGTTTAGCCCCACATTAAAATACGGCCTTGTGCCAAATCCTGACACACGGGGCGTAAGGTAACTATCCTTGCTTCGGCAATTAGTTAGAGATTCGTCACCAGGTGTGCTGGAAGAACTCTCTAACTTTGGGCAGAGAGGAATACACACGAGGCTATTCTGTAGTGCAGAGTCTCATCTGGAGTGGTAGACAGCTACCCGACCCCGTGGGGAATTTTTGCCCGAGCCTACGGGCTCGGTTTTGTCTCGCATTAAAAAACGGCCTTGTTCCATATCCTGCCTCGCGGGTGGGTAAGGTGAATAACCTCTCTTCGGTAATTATTCGAGAGTTGCTCAAACTCTCTGCCTCCGGGCAGAGAGGATACTCAGAAATGACTATGTCGAAGGGCAGAGTCTGATCTCGGGAAAGAGCTACACGTCCTCATTTTATACGGGGGATTTTTGGCCGAGCCTACGGGCTCGGATACCCCATATTAAATTCGGCCTTGTGCCTTATTTGACCACGTGGGGCGGTTGGTAGATATCCTTGCTTTGGGAATTACTCGCCTGTCACCTGATTCCCTGTCTTTCAGTAGTGTATTCTCTTTTACAATAAACCTCTCTTCTTTCATCTACGCGCGTTTTGCTGTTCTTTTACTTGAGTACCACCTTTGTCTGCTTGTAAGCTCTTTAAGGATACAACAGTTCCACAAGCGAGGAGTGCAAGAAATGAAATTGATAGCTATGAATTTACGGTGACTTTTAGCCAATTCAACTGTAAATCGACGAGTCCTTGTTGCTAATCTAGCACTGCTGAAAAACATTAACTACATTTATTGTTAAAAATGTCAACTTCGAATTGCGAAGTTAGTAATTCTAAATCATTAAGATTAGTTAAGAACATGTTCTTGTATCACATTGTAATGAAAGATAATTGTCCCATCGCATTTAAAACCACCCACTCCAACGTAAGGGTCCTAAATAATCTAAATTATTTAAAATTAGTTCAAAGGCGCCCCATTACATTTGAAAATAAACAAATCTCCTCTGTTCTTATATTTTTCATTTTTAGTTTCATCAGAGGCCTAAGACTAGAGGGACCTCAAGGATCTTCTAATATTGCGATCCCTTGGCTTTAACCCATACTAGCAGATATGTACTCCCGGCACTGTGCATCGAATTTGACACGAAAACACCAAATACAAATTGTCCGTTGTGAGGAGAGGACAGTCCACGTCTGATAGTACATCGGAGAGCCGTATGATCCGGTTAAATCGTTTCCTAGACAAAATCAAGTACTTTCACGATCATGCTACCCACAAAATTTGGCCTCCTTGTTCAGCTAATTTAACCCCTATGGGTCATTACCTCTGGAATTGTTCAGCATTCACTGCCATATAGGAGGACCGATATTGCATAAAAATAAGTCCTTTTTTATTTTTGTATCTAACAAGATTTTCCTGTTTCATAATACTTTGCTTAGATACTGGAAGGCATCTTTTCCTCTCCCAGTGCGCCTTAGGATTGAAATAGAAAAAGGATATTTGAAATTCCTGGGACACATAATGTGAAAAGAGACCTTAGAGAATTTGACATTCACAGGGCATATTAAGCTAAGAGAAGTAGTGGCTAACAGTGAGCGAGCTATGTAACTACCTGCTGTAAAGGGCTGACAGAAATGAAATCGGGGAGAATAATCATGAGCAAAATTTGCTTAGAGTTGTGGAGAACCATGATCGCTTACGCCTTGAACGGAAGGGACACATAGAAGAAGAAGAAGAAGAAGAAGAAGAAGAAGAAGAAGAAGAAGAAGAAGAAGAAGAAGAAGAAGAAGAACAACAACAACAACAACAACAACGAGTTTAGAAAAAAGAGGATAGCCACTAAGATAAAGAAATGGAGGAATTTGGTAAGGGTAAGCAGAAGAAAAAAAACCATAAAGAAAATGAAACGGAGGAATTTGGA